TTGGGCTGGGCGCCGTGGCTCACACCTGTTATCCCAGCACTTTGGGAGGCCGAGGCAGGTGGATCACGAGGTCAGGAGTTCAAGACCAGCCTGGCCAAGATAGTGAAACCCTGTCACTAAAAAAAAAAAAAAAAAGAAAGAAAAAGAAAGAAAGAAAACAATGTTTTAAATTATTTTTAAAAAAAATAGAGGTGGGAGGCCGGGCAGGGCGGCTCACACCTATAATCCCAGCACTTTGGGAGGCTGACGATGGCAGATCACCTGAGGTCAGGAGTTTGAGACCAGCCTGACTAACATGGTGAAACACTGTCTCTACTAAAAATACAAAAATTAGCCAGGCATAGTGGCGGGCACCTGTAATCCCAGCTACTTGGGAGGCTGAGGCAGGAGAATTGCTTGAACCCAGAAGGCACAGATTGCAGTGAGCGGAGATTGCGCCATTGCACTCCAGCCTGGGCAACAAAGGCAAAACTCCCATTTCCAAAAAAAAAAAAAAGAAGGAAAATAGAGGTAGGATCTTGTCATGTTGCCCAGGCTGCTCTCAAACTTCTGAGCTAAAGTGATCCACTCGCCTCAGGCTCCTGAAGCTCTGGGATTACAGGGGTGAGCCATAGCACCTGGCCTATTTTAAGTAATTTTAGATTTATAGAAAAGTTATAGACAGTACAGAGTTCCCCTACATCCTTCACCCAACTTCCTTTTACAAAACTGTGCACATTTATCAAAACTAAGCAATTAACGCTCGTATGATATTAATAACTAGACTAGCAGCTGGCTTTGAATTTTCTTCTGTTTTTTCACTAATGTCTGTTTTCTGGTCCAAGAGTCAGTCCAGGTTCCCACATTCTGCTTAGTCCTCAAATCTTGTTAGTCTTCAGTCTGTGACCCTTTCTTTTTTTTTTTGAGATGGAGTTTCACTCTGTTACCCAGGCTGGAGTGCAATGGCGCGATCTCGGCTCACCACAACCTCTGCCTCCTGGGTTCAGGCAATTCTCCTGCCTCAGCCTCCCGAGTAGCTGGGATTACAGGCATGCGCCACCATGCCCAGCTAATTTTTCGTATTTTTCAGTAGAGACGGGGTTTCACCATGTTGACCAGGATGGTCTCGATCTCTTGACCTCGTGATCCACCCGCCTCAGCCTCCCAAAATTGCTGGGATTACAGGCTTGAGCCACTGGGCCCGGCTGTGACCCTTTCTTAACCTCTCCTTGTTTTTCATGACCCTGACACTTTGGAAGAGTGCCAGTCAGGGGTTTTGTGAAATGACGCTTGGTTGGGCTTGGCAGGTGTTTTCTCCTGATTGGACTGGGATGGTGGGTTTGGAAGATCACAGAGAGGTTAGGGAGGTACCTTCTCATTGTGTCACCTGAGGGCTGTGTGATACCCAAGTGCTGGGCGACATTCACCTGGATCGCTGGCTGGAGGTGGTGTCTGCCACCCATCTCCCCCTTCTCCTTGCAGTATTCCCGCTTGTGCTCTGTCTTTTTTTTTTTTTTTTTTGAGATGGAGTCTCACTCTGTCTCCAGGCTGGAGTGTCATGGTGCAATCTTGGCTCACCACAACCTCTGACTCCCTGAGTTCAAGTGATTCTCCTGCCTCAGCCTCCCCAGTAGCTGGGACTACAGGCGTGTGCCACCGCGCCCAGCTAATTCTTGTATTTTTAGTAAAGACGGTATTTCACTATGTTGGCCAAGATGGTCTCCATCTCTTGACCTCATGATCCTCCCGCCTCAGCCTCCCAAAGTTCTGGGATTATAGGCGTGAGCCACTGCATTCAACCTGTGCTCTGTTCTTTAGAAGAGAGTCACTAGGTCCTACCCACCTTCAAGGGGAAGGAGTTAAGCCCCACCTCCTGGAGGGGAAATATTTGTGGACACATGTTAAAGCCACCATCACAGTTTGAAGGCAGATTCTTTGAGGCGGTGCAAATTTCCTGTTTCTCCTTGAAGTTCCACCTGCTAACTTTAGCATTCTTCCGTGGATTCTGCCAGAGGCAGCTATTACTGTGGTGCTCTAATGATGATTTTCTATTTCCCTCATTCCTTCTGTATTTATGATTTATCAGTTAGAATGCTGTAAGGGACATTTGTATCATTTTCCTCATTTATTCATTTTGTCAGCCATTTATTTATTGTGTTTTTTGTTTGGTTTGGTTTTTGTTCTTGCGGCAGGCTCTCACTGTCGCCCAGGCTGGAGTACAGCGGCACCATCGCAGCTCATTGCAACCTCCGCCTCTCGGCTTCAAGCAAGTGATGCCTCCGCCTCCCGAGTAGCTGAAATTACAGGCGTGAACCACCACACCCAGCTAACTTTTGTATTTTTGTGGAGATGGGGTTTCACCATGTTGCCCAGGCTGGTCACGAACTCCTGACCTCCAGCGATGCTCCTACCTTGGTCTCCCAAAGTGCTGGGATTACAGGTATGAGCCACCATGCCTGGCCGAACTATTTGTTAATATCACAATGAACTTGTAGATGTTTACTTTATTCTTTGAAAGGACATATGGCCATCTTTTTGCCTGATTTCCCAGTTTTAGATAATGTTTCTAATATGAGTGAAGGTGTTCTGATGTAGGGCAGTCAAGAGAGACAGAAGTCTGCCACAGTGGACGTTTTCTGGAAAGATCACCAAAACCTTGTCACTGGAGGCTAGGCTATCTGGAGACTTTAAAGCCTGCTACAGGGGCGGGTGTGGTGGCTCACGCCTATAATCCCTGCACTTTGGGAGGCCGAGGCAGGTGGATCACTTAAGGTCAGGAGTTTGAGACCACCCTGACCAATATGGCAAAAACCCATCTCTACTAAAAATACAAAAATTAGCATGGTGGCTTGAGCCTGCTGTCCCAGCTACTTGGAATGCTGAAGCAGGAGAATTGCTAAGGTGGAGATTGCAGTAAGCCAAGATTGTACCACTTCACTCTAGCCTGGGTGACAGAGTAAAACTCTGTCCAAAAAAGAAAAAGCCTGCTAGGGGACTGCAGTAGAAATACCTACAAGAGGCCAAGCGCAGTGGCTCATGCCTCTAATCCCAGAACTTTGGGAGGCGAGACGGGTGGATCACAAGGTCAGGGGTTTAAGACCAGCCTGACCAAGATGGTGAAACACCATCTCTACTAAAAATATAAAAATTAGCCGGGCGGGGTGGCAGGCACCTGAAATCCCAGTTATTCAGGCAGAAGAATCGCTCGAACCTGTGCGACAGAGATTGCAGTGAGCCAGGATCACGCCACTGCACTCCAACCTGAGTGACAGAATGAGACTCTTGTCTCAAAAAAAAAAAAAAAAAAAAAGAGAAAAAGAAATCCCTACAAGAGTAAAACTGAAAAGTCCAAGACTGAACTGCATGTCTCAGAGTCCTGACCACATCCTCCCTTACATGTGCAAACCGCACCTCTTTGGTCCTCAGTTTCCCCAGAGATAACATGAAGATATTGGTGCTGGTAGACTCAAGATTAGTGATTCTCAAACTCAAGGGTGTCTTAGAATCCCATGGAGGGCTCCATAAAGCCCAGATTGCTGGCTGTACCCACAGACCTTCTGATTCAGTAGGTCTGGGATGAGACCTGAAGATTTACATTTCTAAAATGCTGCCACAGGCTGCTTCTGCTGCTGCTGGGGCAGAGACCCTACTTTGAGTCCGAGTGATCGCTAAGAAACTTTAACAGTTTGGGACTTAACACTAATTCAAATGACAAATTCTTTGAACCTGGCTATCAAGAAGTCCCCTAGGCACTGAAAACCAAGTGAGGAGTTGTGCCCAGGATACTGTAAGATTGCTGCATGCCACACCTGGCATCGAGGGCCTGTGAGACCCAGCCACTGCCCAGGGAGGAACAAAGCCTGGGTAAGGCAGAGAAGCCCAAGCTGGAATCTGGGCTCTACCCCTTAAGAGCAGTGTGGCCTTGAGCAAGTGACTAACAGACTTCCTGCCTTGGTTTCCCTACCTATGAGAAAAGGATGATACTTAACATGTCTTGGCATAAAGAAAATGCTCAATGAGTGTTTATTGCTGCTAGGATCACACTTTGCCTCTGGGGTGCAGTGGTGCTGTCCTAGCTCACTGCACCCTCAGATTCCTTGGGCTCAAGCAATCCTCCCACCTCAGCCTCCCAAGTAGCACACCACCATGTCTGGTATTTTTTTTTTTTTTTTTTTTAGAGATGGGATCTTGCTATGTTGCCCAGGCTGGTCTGAAACTCCTGGCCTCAAGCAGTCCTCCAGCCTCAACTTCCCAAAATGCTAGGATACCTGATCCATGTTGCAACCCTGTGAGGCTGTGGCCATCACCAACACCATGTCCAGACAAAACTAGCCACTGTGCCCGGCCAGGATCATTATTATTTTTTCTTTCTTTTTTTTAAATAGAGATGGGGTCTCACTATGTTGCTCATGCTGGCCTTGAACTCCTGGGCTCAAGTGATCCTCCTGCCTTGATCTCCCAAAGTGCTGGAATTATAGGTGTGAGCCATGGTGCCTGGCTCAGGGTCATTATTTTTTTACTGAGCCTGTCCAGTGGGGAGTAATGACAGTGGTAGAACTGACGCCTCTGTCTAGAGCATGTCCGTCTGCCCTCTGCCACAAGTCTACCCAGCTTGGAGTCCCATTTGCTAATTTCAAGCCCTTCATCACAGATTATGAGAAAAAATCAATACAGTTTATTAAACAGATTGCAAGGGCCCTCCCAAGAAGCATTAACAACTCTTCATATAATGAATACCAACAAATTAACACAGCTGCCACCTCCAACTCTCACAAGGGTGTAATAAGTAAGATTTAAGCCTGCAGAAGAAAAACATTCCATAAATACCAAGACTAATAACAATAGCATAATGTTTTTCAAGGTAATCCACAAATTTACATCTCAGCCCTCCCAGGACTAGCCCATCTGAGGGGTCGCTGAGATTATTGGAAAAATATACTTTAGGAATCATGGCAGAGTTTCCACATATAGCTGTCAGTCATTTTTTTAAGGCTGCTTAAGCTCCTGCCATTTAGATGGCCTTAGGTGGTGGCCTGCTGGGCTCCAGAGGTCAATGATTTTAATGCGAGGTCCATGCATTCTGAAAACTGCTGAAAAATAGTCAGGATGAAGCGTTTACGTTCAAAGGTGCCTGTTGGCATAGAAATGTTTGTTTCTGATGCATCTTGAAATATGAGTTTGTCAAGTTGCTCTATGATTTCGTCAATAACAGGTTTGCTGTCTACCTGACTGATCACCTTGAGATAGGCCCGGATGGCTAAGCTGTGGATGTTGTTTGGCGGCTGGGCGTTGGGGCCTGAAACACGGCAGCGTGTAGTTCTGGGACACGGGCACCCCCTTCTCTTCCTCCGCCTGTGGAATGAGGAGAAATGGTGAGTGCTGGGTTTGCAATAACAGCTGAAAGTCTCAGCAGCAAATGTTCGCATGCTTCCTCCGTGACCCGCCTGGTTGATATATTTATCTGACCAGTGTCACAACCCTATGAGGCTGTGCCACCCCCAACCCCATTTCCAGACAAAACTAGAGCTTAGGTGGCCGCAGTCCTGAAGCCCGTGCTCAGAACCGCTGCTCCATCCAGCTGAGGTGTGTCCAGCCTTCCAGAAGCCACACTAACATGCCCAGCGAGGTGGGAATTGGAGCACATCTGGCCTTCCACGGCAGCTCCCTGCCCTGTGGGACTCCGTGTTGAAGCCACACACATCCCACTTACAGAGGAGAGTGTTAGGCTTGTCCAGAAAGGCCTCCGAGATGCAAGGAAGAGTTTTCCAAACAAACCAAGGAGTGCGAACCACTCCGTCCCTTCTCTCTTCCTAAGGACTAATCATTTTTGGGTCAGACCGAATTGCTAGCAACACCTCACTCACCAACCTGAACTGTCCAGTCACCTTTGCTTGGTAACAACCTCAGCCTTTTATAAAAGCCAAGGCTAGGCCGGGCGCGGTGGCTCAAGCCTGTAATCCCAGCACTTTGGGAGGCCGAGGTGGGTGGATCACGAGGTCGAGAGATCGAGACCATCCTGGTCAACATGGTGAAACCCCATCTCTACTAAAAATACAAAAAATTAGCTGGGCATGGTGGCACGTGCCTGTAATCCCAGCTACTCAGGAGGCTGAGGCAGGAGAATTGCCTGAACCCAGGAGGCGGAGGTTGCGGTGAGCCGAGATCGCGCCATTGCACTCCAGCCTGGGTAACAAGAGCTAAACTCCATCTCAAAAAAAAAAAAAAAAAAAAAAGCCAAGGCTGAAGTCTAAATGCCAAGGTAGGGCCGGGCTCGACGGCTTATGCCTGTAATCCCAGCACTTTGGGAGGCCAAGGTGGGCCGATCACAGGGTCAAGGATGGAGACCATCCTGACAAACATGGTGAAACCATATCTCTATTAGTAAAAATACAAACATTAGCTGGGCGTGGTGGCACGTGCCTGTAGTCCCAGCTACTCAGTAGGCTGAGGCAGGAGAATCACTTGAACCTGGGAGGCAGAGGTTGCAGTGAGCCGAGATTGCTCCACCACACTCCAGCCTGGGCAGCAGAGTGAGACTGTCTCAAAACGAAAACAAAAACAAAAAGCCAAGGTAGATGAGAAGGGTAATGCCAATTTTATGAATTGTTTCCAAGTTTGGGTATTTGTTCATTGGACAAAGCTATCTTGTCGGGGCGCCGATGCCTCATGCCTGTAATCCCAGCACTTTGGGAGCCTAAGGTGTATCAGAGGTCAGGAGATCGAGACCATCCTGGCCAATATGGTGAAACCCTATCTCTACTAAAATACAGAAATTAGCTGGACGTCGTGGCACACATCTCTAATCCCAGCTACTTGGGAGGCTGAGGCAGGAGATTCCCTTGAACCGGGGAGTCAGAGGTCTCAGTGAGCCAAGATTGCACCATAGCACTCCAGCCTGGCGACAGAGGGAGACGCCATCTCAAAAAAAAAAAAAAAAAAAAAAAAAAATGGCCATCTTCGCCTGTCTAGTTGCCCCCATCCCTTCCTGGCATAGCCACAGACCCAGCTTCAGGTCTGAAGAGAGGAGCCTCTTTGGAGAGCAATGGAAGGCATTTTTAAAACATGGTTTGGAAAAGAAATCTCTACAGCACTCACGTCTTTCAAAAGTATCTTCGACAGGAACTGCAGTTCCTCAACTACCTTCTGTACTTCACTTGGTTGTAGCAAACGGACGGGCAGCATGTGGCAAGCCAGCCAGCTTCCCAGGCAGCAGAGCAGGAACAGCACAGACGTGGTGGGGCCTGAGGAGAGAAGAATGAGGTGAGCACATGCCTCACACACCCCTGCCCACCCCAGCTCCATCCCTCCAGCCGCTGCTGAGCCATCCCTGGGGTGAATGCTTCCAGAATCTTCCTGGCGACATAGATGCTGCCCAAGACTTCGGAAGCACCAGAACCAGTGATACCTGAGTGAGAGGCCATGGCGAGAGGGCGTGAGGCTGGCTTCGGTGGGGGCGCTGGAGCCAGATGTGCCAGCCATGGCTGCCTGGAGATATATAAAGGGCCGGGCTGAGGAGGAAGAGCCGTCAGCGTCCTGCCCGTGGCAAAACTACTACTCAGCTTTTCCCCAGAAAACACTCAAAGTTCTGCTGGTCATGGTGGGTGAAAGGGCTGGAAGGAAATGCTGGGGTTACCCTCAAGGTGGGCAGATGTCTGACTCAGCGCAGATACGCGCAGACTTCACAGGAAGGCACAGGCATCTTTGCCTTTTCTTCTTGGAAGGAGCCTGTTGATTTGACTAGACAAAATTTTGAAGCCCAGCGTTGACAGACACAATCTACCACCAAGGAGCGGGTGACCTACAGGGGTTCACGGCCAGGGCCCATAGGGAATTTCTGGGGAGGAAACGCGAAGCTGGCATAAGATGCGCAGAATGTGGTATCTCTGGAAATTTCTGCAGCCTGTGCCCACACTGGTGTGAGGGACTGCCCTGTAGCTGCGGCTGGAAGGCTCCATCTCAGCTCTGGGTGGCCTTGGACGTCACTGGACTCTCTGCCATGGCTCAGCAACCTCAGGGTCCGGAACCAGAGACTGTGCTCCAGAGTTATTGGTTGAAATCCTTGTTCATATGGCTTTGAACACCTGATCTCGAGATCTGCCTTGGCCTCCCAAGGTGCTGGGATTACAAGCGTGAGCCACCGTGCCTGGCCTCAATTTTTATGTTTTTAGTAGAGATGGGGTTTCACCATGTTGGGAGGAGGTCGGTCTGGGCGGCTCATAGAACCCAAGATATGCAGAGGGACCCAGCCAGGAAGCGCCACCACCCTTGACCCCGAGGCTCTCTGCAGCCACCACTGACTTTTTCTTTACTTCCCAAACTGCCACAATATGGCTTTCACCACCCCAATAATGTAATCAAAATCCTCTAGCAAAGTCCATGGTAGGCATGACTTTCATCCACAGGTGTTTACTACGATAATTCTGTTGCATTGCCTGGCAAATGGATTTTGTAGATGTAGTCATAGTTACCAATCAGTTTACCTAAGATAGAGACATTATCCTGGGTTCCCTGGCAGGCCCCAGTGCAAGCCCATGAGCCCATAAAGCAGAAGAGGAAGTCGGAGAGATTCCGAGTGAGAGAAGGGCTCACCTGCTGTTGCTGGCTTGAAGATGGAGGGGGCGGCGTGGAAAGTTCGAGAGGGAGATAGTTTGGTCAATAACCACTGAGCTTGGAAGAGGATGCTGAACCCTAGATGAGAAAGAACCTTAGCCAGCCAGCACTTTTATTTTAGCTCAGTAAGTTCCTAAGCAAAGAAGCTATCCACAGCATGCTAGGACTGACCTACAGACACTATGAGAAACAAAGTGTGTGTGTGTGCACGCGTGTGTGAGTGCGCGTGTGTGTGTGTGTGTGTGTAATGGACAGCATCTTGCTCTGCCACTCAGGCTGGAATGCAGTGGTGTGATCATGTCTCACTGCAGCCTTGACCTCCCAGACTCAAGTAGCCCTCCCACCTCAGCCTCCCAAGTAGCTGGGACTATAGGCCCACACCACCATGCCTGGCTAATTTTTGTATTTTGTAATGATGGGGTCTCACTATGTTGGCCAGGCTGAGGTTGAACTCCTGGACTCAAGCAATCCCGCCTCAGCTTCCCAAAGTGCTGGATCACAAGCGCGAGCCACTGCATTTGGTCACATTTGTGTGTGTGTGTGTGTGTTTTAAATTTTTATTTATTTATTATTATTTTGTGATAGGGTCTGGCTCTGTTGCCCAGGCTGGAGTACAGTGGCACAGTCTTGGCTCACTGCAACCTCTGCCCCCTGGGTTCAAGTGATTCTCCTGCTCTAGCCTCCTGAGTAGCTGGGATTACAGGCGTGAGCCACCATGCCCGGCTAATTTTTTGTATTTTTTAGTTGAGACGGGGTTTCACCATGTTGACCAGGATGGTCTCGATCTCTTGACCTCGTGATCCACCCGCCTTGGCCTCCCAAAGTGCTGGGATTACAGGCTTGAGCCACCGCGCCCGGCTTGTTTTCTTTAAGAGGCAAAGTCTCACTCTGTCACCCAGGCTAGAGTGCAGTGGTGCCATCACAGCTCACTGCATGCAGCCTCAAACTCCTAGGCTTCAGTGATCCTCCTGCCTTAGCCTCCTGTATAGCTGGGCTACAGGCACACAGCACACCACCATGCCTGGCTAATTTTTTAACTTTAATTTTTGTAGAAATAAGATCCTGCTATGTTGCCGAGACTGGTCTTGAACTGGGCTCGAGCAATCTACCCACCTTGGCTTTCCAAAGTGCTGGGGCTACAGGTGTGAACCACATGCCCAGCCTAATTCAGTTTGTTTGTTTGTTTTTGAGACTGAGTCTCACTCTCACTCAGGCTGGAGTAAAGTGACCAAATCTCGGCTCACTGCAGCCTCCACCTCCCGGGTTCAAGGGATTCTCCTGCCTCGGCCTCCAGAGTATCTGGGATTACAGGTGCCCACCACCACGACTGGCTAATTTTTGTATTTTTGGTAGAGACGGGGTTTCGCCATGTTGGCCAAGCTGGTCTTGAACTCCAGAGCTCAAGAGATTAGCCTGCCTCGGCCTCCCAAAGTGCTGGGACTCAGCCTCCCAGGTGCGAGCCACACGGCCAGCCTGATTCGGCTTGTGACACAGTGAATGCGAACGTTACAGAACGCTCAGCTGAAGACACACAGCAGGCCATTGGACTTGTGGACCTGAGCGTGAAGGAAGGAACTGTCAACATAAAGGTGGGTGCCATCAAGGTATTGTGGCAGATAAAACCGTAAGCCAGTAAGAGATGAGCAGTGTGAGGTATGGGAGTCAAGTGTGGAGCCCTGGGACATGCCTTCATTAACAGGACAAGGAGAAGATGATGATTTAGTCTAGAACATGGAGAAGGTGCTCTCAAGAGAAAAAGAAGGCCAGGCGTGGTGGCTCAAGCCTGTAATCCCCGCCCTTTGGGAGGCCAAGGTGAGCAGATCACAAGGTCAAGAGATTGAGAACAGCCTGGCCAACATGGTGAAACCCCGTCTCTACTAAAAATACAAAAATTAGTTGTGTATGGTGGTGGTGCCTGTAATTCCAGGTACTCAGGAGGCTGAGGCAGGAGAATCACTTGAACTCAGGAGGTGGAGGCTTCAGTGAGTCAAGATTGCGCCACTGCACTCCAGCCTGGTGACAGAGCAAGACCCTGTCTCAAAAAAAAAAAATGAGAGTGAGAAAAAGAAAAGTACTAGAAATACATGTTGTTATGGAACAAGATGAAAAGTAACTTTCGGACCGGGCGCAGTGGCTCAAACCTGTAATCCCAGCACTTTGGGAGGCTGAGGTGGGTGGATCACGAGGTCAAGAGATCAAGACCATCCCGCTCAACATGGTGAAACCCCGTCTCTACTAAAAATACAAAAAGTTAGCTGGGCATGGTGGCACGTGCCTGTAATCCCAGCTACTCAGGAGGCTGAGACAGGAGAATTGCCTGAACCCAGGAGGCGGAGGTTGCAGTGAGCCGAGATCGCGCCATTGCACTCCAGCCTGGGTAACAAGAGCGAAACTCTGTCTCAAAAAAAAAAAAAAAAAGTAACTTTCAAGAAGGAGGAAATGGTTGACATCATCAAAAGCCATGAAGAGGGCCGGGCGCGGTGGCTCACGCCTGTAATCCCAGCACTTTGGGAGGCCGAGGCGGGTGGATCACACGGTCAAGAGATTGAGACCATCCTGGTCAACATGGTGAAACCCCGTCTCTACTAAAAATACGAAAATTAGCTGGGCATGGCGGCGCATGCCTGTAATCCCAGCTACTCAGGAGGCTGAGGCAGGAGAATTGCCTGAACCCAGGAGGTGGAGGTTGCAGTGAGCCGAGATCTCGCCATTGCACTCCAGCCTGGGTAACAAGAGTGAAACTCCGTCTCAAAAAAAAAAAAAAAAAAAAAAAAGCCCTGAAGAGGTGAAATAAGGTAAAGATTGCAGAGATTGGGCAACATGAGGTCACAGGAACTGTGCTAGGAGAGTTTGAATACATTTTTGGTTTGGTATATTGTGGTGGTTTGGGAAGTGAGGAAAAAGTGAGCATAGGCCGGCTGTGGTGGCTTACGCTCGTAATACCGGCACTTTGGGAGGCCAAGGCAGGCAGATCTCTTGAGGACAGGAGTTTGAGACCATCTTGGCCAACATGATAAAGCCCCATCTCTACTACAAATACAAACATTAGCCAGGCATGGTGGTGGGCACCTGTAACTTCAGCTACTCGGGAGGCTTGAACCCAGGAGGCGGAGGCCGCAGTGGGCCGAGATTGTGCCACTGCACTCCAGTCCATCAACACAGCAAGACTCCGTCTCAAAAAATAAATAAGGGAAAAGAAGGGAGCCTAGACCACTGTGTCAAGAAGCATGGATGACAAGGAAGAGAAAAAGAGACAGCGGTGGCTGCAGGGGGACTTGGGATGAAGGGTGGAAGGGCTTCCTGGCGGGGCCCTTCTGTGCATCTTGGGTTCTGTGTACCACCCAGACCTGACCGCATCCCTGAGCCTCCTAACCAATGGCTAGTCTGACAGACGCCCATTGGCATCTGGACCTTAACTTGTTTCAAACAGGATGTTTGATTTCCCCTCTGAGTCTTGTCTTCCTTCGCTGCACATCGTCCACCTGTTGCTCCATCAAAATCCCACGAGCCCCATCTGTGGTTCATCTCCTTGACTTATTTACATCAGTATGGACTCATAGATACTGATTTTATTCTTTGAGGGCCAGGCAGGGTGGCTCATGCCTATGATCCCAGCACTTTGGGAGGCTGAGATGGGTGGATCACTTGAAGTCAGGAGTTCGGAACCAGCCTGGTCAACATGGTGAAACGCCATCTCTACTAAAAAATACGAAAACCTTAGCCAGGCATGGTGATGCGTGCCTAAAGTCCCAGCTACTCAGGAGGCTGAGGTGGGAGGACCACTTTAGCTTAGGGGGTCCAGGCTTCCGTGAGCTGCTATGATCACGCCACTGCACTGTTTTCTGGATGACAAAGTGAGACCTGTCCCCACCCCCCAAAAAAATGATATTTTCTTCTTTGAAAGAAGATATGGTCATCTTTTTGCCTTAGATCCCAGTTTTGGATAATTTTTCCAATAACAGTAAAGTTGTCCTGATACCGTTTAGTTAAAAAGAATGAGAGATGTTGATGTGTTCCTCCATGTGGGGGATGGGTCAGAGCGGCCAGAGTGGTGAGAAAAACTACTGTATAGGAAAAGGACGCAAACCTACTGAAAAGTCAAAGGTTTTGTCGAGCCCTGGGGGAGAATAGCTGAAGGCAGCTGTTATCTAGCCCTGACGCAGAGGGCGAGGAGTGAAGGGGGAAGTTATCTTGATCAGGCTTGTTTGTTTGAAGTTGTCCAGGAACTGACCTTTGAACATCACTGGTGAAGTTCCCTGAAAGGGGAACAATAAGTGTTAATTACTTACAGATTGTGTTTGCTCCAGGCATTCGGCATTGTGCCTGCACTGGGTAAAAGCAAGCAGCTCCAGCTTCTGGGGCTGCCTCTCTGGCCACTAAAGCCAGGCAGTCCCCTTGCTGCTCTTACACTGCGCTGAGTACTCATTTCATCCGCCGCCAGAGTCTGTGGGACAGACCCAGAACCTCCAAAATTCATTTGTTGGAACCTGATGCCCAGTGTGATGGTATTAAGAGGTGGGGTCCTTTGGGAAGTGATTCAGTATGGGGGCTCCTCATGAATGGGATTCATGTCCTTACAGAAGCGGTTTCATGGCTGCGCGCAGGGTGGATTGCCTGGCCTCAGGAGTTCGAGACCAACCTGGGCAACATGGTGAAACTCCATCTCTACTAAAATACAAAAAAATAGCCGGAAGTGGTCGTGCGCCTGTGATCCCAGCTACTCGGGATGCTGAGGCAGGAGAATCGCTTGAACCTGGGAGACAGGTTGCAGTGAGACGAGATTGGACCCCTGCACTCCAGCCTGGGCGACAGAGCAAGACTCCATCTGAATAAAATAAAATAAAAAATAAATAAAATAAGGTCTGAGTGCTTAAACAGTTATACAGGTGGACAGTGATAAAACCCCTGACTGCAGGCTTAGAGAGACCCACCCTGGCACCCACTGGCTGGCTGGAGATGTTTGACGTTGGGGTCTCTTCTTTCTCGATCTGTCAGATGAGTATAGGATGACTTTTGGTGGGGAGTGCTTGAGAGGAGGTTAAGAAACAGGTCAGCTACAGCGCTCACTGCCTGCGGGAGCTGCCACACCTGGAACCACCAGCTGTGATCCCATTTTACAGATGAGGGCGGAAGAGAAAACCCAGGTGGTTGGGCCCGAGCTGTCTGTGATCCGGGTGGGGGGGGTCTCTTCCTCGCGGCAGGTGAGCGCACCTGGAGAGGCCCCGGGCCTCGCGCACGCGTCCCGGCGGTTGCCGGGCAACGCGGCCCCGCGGCCATGGAGGCGTCCTCGGAGTCCGAGTCTGAGGACGGGCCTGGGACCCAGCGGCCCGGGACGGGGACCGTGAGCGCGGCGGTGCGCGAGCACCTGCGGAAGCTGTGTCTGCGCGAGTTCCCGTGCGGCTCGGGCAGCTGGGTGCGGGCGCAGGGGCCGGGGCTCTGGGGGCCTGGAGCGGCTGCAGGGAGGGACGTGCCCGGGCGAGCGGGGTGGGCCGAGGGGCTGGCGCAGGGGCGGGCTAGTCCCTGGGGCCTGGGATCTGCGCATTTTGGGGGCCGCCGATGTGGGGGCGGGTGGGGCTCGGAGGTGACGGTGGGGCCCGGGCCGTGGGTACTGCCTGGGGAAGCGCAGGGCCGGTCCTGAGCACATCGGCTGACCTGGGCCGGGGCTTCTCCCTGACTTGAAGACGCCAACACCCCAGATTTCCAGTGGGCAGGCTCCTTTTGGGGTGAAAACCTTTTGTTTTGGTCAAAGAGTTTCGCAACTTTTCCCAGCCTCGGAGCATGTAATGAAAGCCCAAGGCAGCGTGAGAGGTAGCTCTGAGCCTGCAGCCTGCGACCTGGGGTCCAGGAGAAGGGGTCACCCCCCACCCATCCCGTCTCCAGAGTCCTAGACCCTTCCCTACCGTGGCTTCAACCACGAGGGGAGCCCAAGTGTGGCCCAGGACGACCTCAGGCTGGAGTGCAATAGCACCATCTCAGCTCACTGCAACCTTCGCCTCCCGGGTTCAGGCAATTCTCCTGCCTTAGCCTCCCCAGTAGCTGGCATTACAGGCCTGCGTCACCATGCCTGGCTAATTTTTGTATTTTTAGTAGACACAAGGTTTCACCATGTTGCCCAGGCTGGTCTCAAAGTCCTGACCTCAAGTGATCCTCCCGCCTCAGCCTCTCAAAGGAATGGGACGTTTTACTTATTTTGTATCTTCTCTCGTCTATAGTTATATCTGTGGCTAACAATCCATCAGAATTATTGATTACTGTTTAGATTGCTAAACTCTTTTTTTTTTTTTTTTTTTTTTTGAGACGGAGTTTTGCTCTTGTTACCCAGGCTGGAGTGCAATGGCGCGATCTCGGCTCACCGCAACCTCCGCCTCCTGGGTTCAGGCAATTCTCCTGCCTCAGCCTCCTGAGTAGCTGGGATTACAGGCAGGCGCCACCATGCCCAGCTAATTTTTTATATATTTTTAGTAGAGACGTGGTTTCACCATGTTGACCAGGTTGGTCTCGATCTCTCGACCTTGTGATCCACCCTCCTCGGCCTCCCAAAGTGCTGGGATTACAGGCTTGAGCCACCGCGCCCGGCCAGATTGCTAAACTCTTTATCCCCAATCTTCCAGTTTTACGATCTGTTCCGTTTTGAGAGTCTGGCATCCATAGGGGGCTGTGTCACACCTGGAGAAATCCCCTCTCTGCCACTGCAGAATAAGTCGCGATTTCTTCCTCAAACTTGGCGAACGTGGAGGGAACTGGTCCCCAGAGAAGAGAACGTGGTGAGCCCAGGGGAGGAGACGGTGGAGGCCCTGCTGGGCCTGGTCCGCAGCCCCCACTCCCCCTGGGCTCTGCTGAATGACTCCAATTCGGAAGACAGTTTCCTTAGAGAACTGGCCATCCGGAACCCGCTGATGATCAGAGACACCTTCTTCTACTCCTACTTCCGGTCCCTGCGGGTGGTGGACAAGGAGGTGAGTGCCGGGCATGGGTCGGGGGGTGATGTTGGGGTGGCCGCTCCCCTAAGGGAGGTTGGGGGGAGGGCACCCTTCCCACAGTGCCTCTGGGGTCCTCTTTTGGGGGCTGGAGCCAAGGCCAGCCTGCCCTCCATCTGCTTCATCTCCCTGGCTTGTCAGCCTGTGTCTCTTCTTCCTTCACCCTTGACCACCATCTGCTGAGTTCTGCAGTGGACCCAGCTGGGTCTAGCAAAGGTTTTTCGAAGAGTCTGTTTTAGTTTTACTTCGTCTAAACCATGGGGGTCAGGGGAGTGGAGGGTTGGTGTAGTTCTCTTTTAATTTCTGTCACCAAAAAGCCACCTTTGTCTACATTGGTAGCAGAGCCCAGGCTGGGCGAGGTGGCTCCCTGGTGCTAATAATCCCAGCACTTTGGGAGGCTGAGGCAGGAGGTTCCTTTGAGTCTAGGTGTTAGAGACCAGCCTGGGCAACATAGTGGGACCCTGACTCTATAAAATTTTAAAATGTAGGCCAGGCACGGCAGCTCATGCCTGTAATCCCAGCACTTTGGGAGGCCAAGGCGGGCGGATCATGAGATCAAGAGATCGAGACCATCCTGGCCAACATGGTGAAATCCCGTCTCTACTAAAAAATGCAAAAATTAGCTGGGTGTGGTGGCACGCACCTGTAGTCCCAGCTACTCAGGAGGCTGAGGCAGGAGAATTGCTTGAACCCAGGAGGTGGAGATTGCAGTGAGCCGAGATTGCACCACTGCACTCCAGCCTGGCACCTGGTGACAGAGTGAGACTCTGTCTCAAAAAAAGAAAAAAAAAAATTTTTTTAATGTAGCTAAGTATGGTGGTGCATGCCTGTAGTCCCAACTACTCAGACGCTGAGGCAGAAGGATCACTTGAGCTGGGGAGGCAGAGGCTGCAGGGATCGTGATTGCACCATTGCACTCCAGCCTGGGTGACAGAATGAGATCGTGTTTCCATCAATCAAGCAAGCGTGAGACTCTGTCTCAATAAATAAATAAATCCAGCAAGCCAGCCCAAAAATTGCCTGGAAGCAGCGGGTGGGAAAGCAGGGCAGGCAATGCTGATGAAGGAGCCACTGTCTTTCTACTGTGGGCGGGGGCTCTGTGCCTGTGCTCCCTCACCCACCGCAGCCCTCGGCTTCTCCCCTCTTCCAGGTGACCCTGGTGGATAAAGACCTCCTGAAATTTCTAAAGCTGGAGGAATTGGTACTGAGTGCCAATCGAATCAAGGAGGTGGAAGCTGCCAATCTGCCCCCCACACTTAAGGTGAAGGAACCCCGGTCCGTGCCGAGTCTTTGGGCCAGCACTGCCCAGAGGCCTTGCCCTACCCTGCCCGGCATAGATGTGGCCAGCGTGGGTGGAGGCTAGGACCCAGCTCCAGGCTTTTTAAAATGTAGGTCACTTTCCTCAAAAAGTTAATCAAAATTACTGCAAGACCCAGCGCTTCATTTCCTAGGCGTATCCGTGAAGGAACTGAAGACAGGGATGCAGCCAGAGTCTCATCTTCAGAGTTCAGAGCTGTGCTACTCACCATAGGGGAAGGGTGGGCTCAAGTGTCTAAAAACAGATGAATGGATAAACAAAAAAATGTGGTCAGGCTGGGCGCAGTGGCTCGCGCCAGTAATCCCAGCACTTTGGGAGGCTGAGGCGGGCTGATCACCTGAGGTCAGGAGTTTGAGACCAGCCTGGCCAACATGGCAAAATCCCATCTCTACTATACAAAAATTAGCTGGGTGTGGTGTCGCATGCCTGTAATCCCACCTACTTGGGAGGCTGAGACAAGAGAATCGCTTGAACCTGGGAGGCAAGAGTTGCAGTGAGCCGAGATTGTGCCACTGCACTCCAGCCTGGTGAGAGTGAGACTCTGTCTCAAGAAAATAAAAGTCATCTCTCCGTACAATAGAATGCTATTCACTCATAGAAAGGAATCAAGTCGGCCTATAATCCCAGTGCTTCGGAGGCCGAGGTGGGCAGATTGCCTGTTCTCAGGAGTTCCAGACCAGGCTGGGCAACATGGGGAAACCTGTCTCTACAAAAACAGAAAAATTAGCCAGGTGTAGTGGCATGCTCCTGTAAGCCCAGCTACTCAGGAGGCTGAGGCTGGAGAATCTCTTGAACCTGGGAGGCGAAGGCTGCAGTGAGCCAAGATTGTGCCATTGCACTCCAGCCTGGGTGACAGAGCAAGACTCCACCTCAAATAATAAACTATAAATAAATTAAAAAACAAAAAAACAAAAAAACAGCAACAACAAAAAAAATGGGTGAGGCTGTGGATAAGAACCATGAACCCAGAAGGTTAGTGTTGGGTTTATTCTGGATCCATCCAGGGTCCCTTTTGGCTTCCCAGGGAAGCATCCCCATGGGTTGAGAAGGTGCCAGATCTATGCAGCTTCTGCACCGCCAGTCCGACATCATACCCCCCACCCCCCGTTCCAAATATTGACGTGTCTTTCACAAAAGGAAAAGAAACTTCCCAAGACCTGCTGCAGGAACCTTTTCTTCCTGGGTCTTTCACAGGGAGGCCGGGTGGCGCCAGGGGGGGCCAGGCGTCAGTAATTTGTGATTCTTCCGAGTTTCTCAGCGCAGAAGGGCGGGCCTGCTCCTCACCGCTGACTCCTGCGGCCCGGCCGTCTGTGGTCTCCCAGGTGCTGGAGCTCTACGGCAATGAGATCAGCAGCATGGAGTGTCTGTGCGCCCACCCACCCCCCGGCCTGCAGCACTTGGGGTTAGGCCACAACAAACTTCTAGGCCCCTCGGAAAGTCTCCACATCACCACTGACCACTGGTAACTCAGGAGCCCAGATGGAAAGAGAGGGAGGAAGTCTTAGGCTAGGGGGACTCCTTCCCGGCGGCCTGAGAACTTAGCTTTGCTGTTTTCTGTAACTCCCAGTTGGCTGCCAACTCCAGACCTTTGGTTTATTTCTCTGACCCAATAGCAAAATTCCACTGAGGCCCTGGGAAAGAGAACAAGAGGTGGGGGGTGTGAGGCAGAGCCTTTGCTTTGGTGCCATATTTTATTTTTTATTTATTGATTTTTGAGATGGAGACTCACTCTGTTGCCCAGGCTGGAGTGCTGTGGTGTGATCTCTGCTATGCAGCCTCCACCTCCCGGGTTCAAGCAGTTCTCCTGCCTCAGCTTCCCAAGTAGCTGGGACTACAGGTGCCCACCACCACGCCTGGCTAATGTTTGTATTTTTAGTAGAGACGGGGTTTCACCATGTTGGCCAGGATGGTCTCGAACTCCTGACCTCAAGTGATCTGCCCACCTTGGCCTCCCAAAGTCCTGGGATTACAGGTGTGAGCCACCGCGCCCGGCCTGGTGCCATGTGCTAGAGCAGAGTTCCTCACCTTGGACTCCGTTGGCATTGGAGTCCTGTCATTCCTTGCTGTGGTGCTGCCCTGGGCACAGCAGGATATTGAGCGGCGTCCCTGGTCTCCACCTGCAGAGCCAGGAGTACCTCCCTGCTAGTTGTGACAAGCAAAAGTGTCTCCAGACAGAACCTAATGTCCCTTGAGCAGCAAAATACCCTCATGCTGAGAACCACTGCCCCGGTACCAGGCCCTCCTAGTGCCAGGCGCCCCATCGCTATCGAAGGTTCAGGCTCATTAGGAAGCCAGCAGAAGGTTCTGGTCCCAGTGGATATTCACCTTGGTCTCCTTGGTGGGCAGATGGTAGAAACCTTAACATCCTGGATCTGAGGGGCAGGAGGGGACCAGAGATCACCCAGAAAAGGCCATGAAAGGAAGCCAGGAGGGGAAGGCTTTGCAAAGCATGCTCTGAGACGTGCAGGACTTGAGTGGCTTGGCAGCATCTCCGTGGTGCCCATTCGAAGCTAGGCAAGGGTGGACTGGGTAGAACCACCTCCCCTCTCTCCTTCCCCCAGGAACCTGGAGGGCATGCCCTTGGGGGGGGTCCAACCCTCCACACGCCTGCAGGGAAGGGAAGCTCCCTCTCCGACTCTAGATTCTTCTTCCTCCCCTTCTCTTCTGCTCTTAGGGGAAGGGCAAGGCGGGGCGCCTTACTGGGATTGGGAGAGGCTGTGCTGACAGCGGCCCCTTGTGTTTTTCTTGTGTCTGTTCTCAGCTGAGATCAATTTGCTTTCCAGTTTGTGGCAGCAGGAAAGTCACCCTGCCCCTGCCCTGTGTCTTGGTCTGGCCGAAGGCCCCTCCCAGCCCCCTTGCCTCCTGGGGTCCCGCCCCAGTCTGGCTTTGAGATGCCATCTCCAGCTTCTGGACCGCCCAGCCCTCCGGCCTCTGGCTCCCTCCTCCCAGCCCCCAGCGTCAACCCCATACCTGCCCTGTCCAAGGCTCCCCCAAGGAGGCTGTCCCCGGCTGTGCCACCCAGTCTGCCGGCAGTATTTGTGCAGAACCTTCTTGACGCACGCAGTGCACAAGGCTCCACGGGAGCTACTGAGAGGTTTGGCCAAGAAGAGAGGAGCCCTGTGAAGGGCGGCCTGTGGGGGCCAGTTGTGAGGGACATCCCTGTGGCTCTGACTGTGAGGATAGCAGTGCTATGGAGAGAGGAGACGGGAGCCAGGCACTCGTTCCTAATGTGGGTTAACTTGGGTCAAGTTGACAGGGTGTGCAGCCCACGGATGGCAGAGTCCTCAGCCCCAGGCCCCTGTCTGCTTTGGCTGTAGGGCTGCTGGCCCCTGGTCACCTGGCTTCTTGACCCTCAGAGAGTCCTTGCTCACCTTCCAGGCCCAACCTTGTCTCCCTGGACCTGGGCTTCAACGACCTGACGGACCTGCAGAGCATGCTTGCCAGCCTGAGGACCCTCCGGCACCTGCGGCTTCTGGTGCTGCAGGGAAACCCGCTGGCCCTGGTGCCCTACTACCGAGGCCTCACTGTCGACAGCCTGGCCCAGCTCTGCGTGCTGGACGACATCACCGTGTCTCCCAACGAGAAGCATCTGTTCCGGGGGCTCAGCCTCAATGGCGGTGAGGGTGCCAGCGTGCAGGGAGGGGGTGGCACGTGACACCCCAGCCTCCGCCTGGCTGTGCCCTGCCCTCCTGGGTCTGTGCACCCATCTTTCCTGCAGCTCCCCATCTGACCCAGACCCTAGTCAGGTGTAGCCTCACTTCCGGGTCAGACATTTCCCAGGCTTTGATTCCTGTGATTGGGATTTGGGGACAAAAGTGGTAGTGGGAGGCCAGGCGCAGTGGCTCACACCTGGAGTCGTAGCACTTTGGGAGGCTGAAGCGATCACTCTTTGGGATCTCTTGAAGTCAGGAGTTCAGCACCAGCCTGGCCAATAAGTATCTCGTCTCTACTAAAAATATAAAAATTACCCAGGTATGGTGGCGGGTACCTGTAATCCCAGCTACTCGGGAGCCTGAGGCAGGAGAATCTCTTGAACTCAGGAGGTGAAGGTTGCAATGAGCTGAGATAATGCCACTGCACTCCAGCCTGGGCGACAGAATGAGACACTGTCTCAAAAAAAAAAAAAAAAAAAAGAAAAGAAAGTGGTGGGAGCGGATCACTTGAGCTAAGAGGCAGAGGCTGCAGTGAGCTCTCATCTCACCACTGCACTCCAGCCTGGCCACAGAGCAAGGCCCTGTCTCTTAAAAAAAAAAAAAAAAAAAAAAAAAAAAAAAAAAAAAAAAGAAATAGCAGGGTACGGTGGCTCACACCTATAATCTCAGCACTTTGGGAGGCCGAGGCGTGCAGATCACCTGAGGTCGGAAGTTCAAAACCAGCCTGACCAACATGGAAAAACCCCATCTCTATTAAAAATACAGAATTAGGCTGGGCGCGGTGGCTCACGCCTGTAATCCCAGCACTTTGGGAGGCCGAGGCAGGTGGATCACGAGGTCAAGAGATCAAGACCATCCTGGTCAACATGGTGAAACCCCGTCTCTACTGAAAATACAAAAAATTAGCTGGGCGTGGTGGCGCGTGCCTGTGATCCCAGCTACTCAGGAGGCTGAGGCAGGAGAATTGTTTGAACCCAGGAGGCGGAGGTTGCGGTGAGCCGAGATCGCGCCACTGCACTCCAGGCTGGGTAACAAGAGCGAAACTCCGTCTCAAAAAAAAAAAAAAAAATACAGAATTAGCCAGGCACGGTGGCATGTGCCTGTAATCTGAGCTACTCGGGAGGCTGAGGCAGGAGAATCACTTGAACCTGGGGGGTGGAGGTTGTAGTGAGCGGCGATCACGCCACTGCCCTCCAGCCTGGGCAGCAAGAGTGAAACTCCATCTTAAAATAAAATAATAAAATAAAATAAAATAACGTATAGGGAGTTGGGACGGTTATTTTAATTAGCTTCTTTATCTCCCTGCTGGCTTGAGATCGCCCCCTTGTGGCCTATACCACAAGGTGCACCGGAGGCTTCTCCAGGTCATAGTGACATGCTGGATAATGCTAAGGTGACCTGCAGAGCAGCCGTCATCGCTGCCATACACAGATCAGGAAAACAAGGCCAAAGAGGGGTGTGATGACACCCAAATCACTCCAAGTCAGCTTGCCATAGTGGCACGTGAACCTGCCTGCCCCACTAAGGCTCAGCCCTGAGTGGTGGAGTGAATCCGGGGACCCGTACCTTCCCGTCCTCTCGTTTTTTCTCTGCCCACTTATATTCCATGGGGCCCCTCTGTCCTGCCCATTTCTCTCTGCAGATCTCTTGGCACAGGAGGCGCAGTTTGTGGTGACCATTGGAAACATCAGGGGAGTTCTGGACGCTTCTCTCTTGGACCCGGAACCAGGGCCCGAAGGCCCTTTCATCACTTACAGCTATTACGTGACCTACGATTTTGTGAAAGACGAAGAAGGTGAAGCGAATGAGTACCCGGACGTGCTGGCCGAGGTGCGCCCCAGGCTGTCCGGGAGTATGGGGGCCCTTGTGCAGGCTGAACTGCTTCGTGGAACCAGGAATATCCTTTTTTTTTTTTTTTTTTTTTTTAATTGAGACGAAGTTTCGCTCTTGTTACCCAGGCTGGAGTGCAATGACGCGATCTCGGCTCACCGCAACCTCCGCCTCCTGGGTTCAGGCAATTCTCCTGCCTCAGCCTCCTGAGTAGCTGGGATTACAGGCACGTGCCACCATGCCCAGCTACTTTTTTGTATTTTTAGTAGAGACGGGGTTTCACCATGTTGACCAGGATGGTCTTGATCTCTTGACCTCGTGATCCACCTGCCTTGGCCTCCCAGAGTGCTGGGATTACAGGCTTGAGCCACCGAGCCCGGCCTTGGAAAATTCTTAATGTGGAATCTGGTGATTCATGCAGGCACCTGGCTTCAGCTCGGCTTCTTTTTTGCAGCTAGAGCAGTTTTCAGCCATGCACACATTCCTCTTGCCCTCTTAAAATCTGAGCCTAAAAAAAAAAAAAAATCTGAGCCTAAAAAGAGAGCCACCCAGTGTTTCATAACTCGGCCCCTTGCTCCCAGCCCCATTCTGCAATTTCTACAACTACTTCTATCTCCCTCCATATCACAAGTAAACCCAAGGACACCATCTGACTAGGGGAAGCGTGATGACACTGGTCTCCTGCTCCCACGTGGAAGTGGTTATTGCTTTCACACTTAATGTAGGTCTTTCAGAAGAGACAAGACTGGGTTTCTCAGAGCCTTCCTGCGTCCTAGCATGTTCCTCTGCTCACACGTGAACCTCAACTAGATGTTGGGAGCTGTGTTACAGACACGGCCTGGGCACCAGCTGAGCACGTCTTGGAGACGGCAGCCTTGGATGAGTTTCTGTTTTTCTGCAGATCGTCAAGCCCTCTCCCAGCTTAGAATTATTAGTTGAGGAATCTCCTGAAGAGGTCATTGAAAGCGTCATCGAAGATGTTGTTGAAGAGGTCACTGAGGAGATGGAAGGATCCCTGGAGTCTGAGGTGGAGGAGTGGGGAGAGTCGGAGGTGTCCATCATCTCAGTCCCTTCAACTGTCTTGCCGACGCCCAGGGCCTCTGCAGAAGAGCTGGCCAAATTGCGGCCACGTATAGATCCCCGGCTCTGCCCATCCCCAGGGTAAGGTTGGAAACCTAAACCAGGGCAAGTGGTCAGAGCAGTAGGGTCATAGCCTAGACCACACCGTGGCCTCCGCTTAAAAGTCCTGAGGTGGGCTAGGCGCAGTGGCTAGGCGTGAGCCACCGCGCCTGGCATATATTACATTTCTACATGCCATAGCCCAAACTGCAATTTTATAGATGTTGTCTTATGCTATTGCATTTTATTCTTTTTTTTTTTTTTGAGACGGAGTTTCGCTCTTGTTACCCAGGCTGGAGTGCAATGGCGCGATCTCGGCTCACCGCAACCTCCGCCTCCTGGGTTCAGGCAATTCTCCTGCCTCAGCCTCCTGAGTAGCTGGGATTACAGGCACACGCCACCATGCCCAGCTAATTTTTATATTTTTGGTAGAGACGGGGTTTCACTATGTTGACCAGAATGGTCTCGATCTCTTGACCTCGTGATCCACCCGCCTCGGCCTCCCAAAGTGCTGGGATTACAGGCGTGAGCCACCGCGCCCGGCTGCATTTTATTCTAATTAGAATCAAGGACAAGAAATATATAACTATACTGTCTTCTGTATTTGCCTACATGATTACCTATATTGGTGCTCTTTCTTTTTTCACATGAATTTGAATTACCCTCTGGTGTTACTTCCTTTCAGCCTGAAGAACTTCCTTCAGGAAGTTAATGTATTCATGTATTCAACTTCTTTTCATGTTTTGTGTAAGGCAAATCTATTGGCAACAAAGTCAGTTTTTTGTTTCTCTTGATATGTCCTTATTTCAAAAGCAATTTTGAAAGATAGTTTTGCTGGGTATAGAATTGTTGGTTGACAGGCCGGGCGCGGTAGCTCAAGCCTGTAATCCCAGCACTTTGGGAGGCCGAGGCGGGTGGATCACAAGGTCAAGAGATCGAGACCATCCTGGTCAACATGGTGAAACCCTGTCTCTACTAAAAATACAAAAAATTAGCTGGGCATGGTGGTGCGTGCCTGTAATCCCAGCTACTCAGGAGGCTGAGGCAGGAGAATTGCCTGAACCCAGGAGGCGGAGGTTGCGGTGAGCCGAGATCGCGCCATTGCACTCCAGCCTGGGTAACAAGAGCGAAACTCCGTCTCAAAAAAAAAAAAAAAAAGAATTGTTGGTTGACAGTTTTGGTGGGGTTTTTCCCCCCACTACCTCAGAACATTTGTTTTGTTTTGTTTTGTTGAGATGGAGTCTTGCTCTGTCACCCAGACTGGAGTGCAGTGGTGGGATCTTGGCTCACTATAACCTCTGCTTTCTGGGTTCAAGTGATTCTCCTGCCTCAGCCTCCAGAGTAGCTGGGCTGACTTCATTAATCTACTGGGCTTATCTGCTGTGATATTTCAGTCTGCAACTTGGTCTCTACTTATCTTTGAGGGAAAATGTTCTCCATCCTCAGTGATGGAATTAGTGAGGAGGTTTGTATTAACATTTAACTTGGACATACTTTAAATTTGATAGAGTATATTATTAATTCTCCTTCAGGCTGCGATCCAATTGGTAGAACAATTTATGTTAAATCCCTTCCAGAGTGGGATGCTACTTCATGGTTGACATGGTGTTCTGAGACTAAGGCAATGCCAGTCAGGGATCTGTGTTCTAGCCTGGGGCTAGGCTAGATTTGTTTCTGCTTTTTTTTTCTCCAGCAGCAGGGTCTCACTTTGTCACCGAGGCTTGAGTGCAGTGGCATGAACATGGCTCACTAAAGCCTTGACTTCCCAGGCTCAAGCAATCCTCCCACCTCAGCCCCCAGAGTAGCTGGGACTATAGGCATGTGCCACCTTGCCCAGCTAATGTTTATATTTTTGGTAGAAATGAGGGCTCAACTTGTTGCCCAGGCTGTTCTTGAACTCCTGGGTTCAAGCGATCCTCCCATCTTGGCCTCCCAAAGTGCTAGGATTAGAAGCGAGAGCCACCACGCTCAGCCCTTTGCTGAACTTTTAACAAATACCTCTTGGTGAGTTTCAAATGGTTTCTATCAGTTGTTCAGGGTGGTCTTGCCCCTGAAGGAGGGCCCCATGTGCCTTTTTTTTCTTTTGCTGTCTCCTCTGCGTCCACATTCCTTTCTGGCCTTCTGGTCCCCTCACCTTGCCTGGTGGCAGCCAGGTCCCCTGCCTCACTCTGTGGGCTTTTTTTTTTTTTTTTTTTTCTTTTTTTTTGAGACAGAGTTTTGCTCTTGTTAACCAGGCTGGAGTGCAATGGCGTGATCTCGGCTCACCGCAACCTCCGCCTCCTGGGTTCAGGCAATTCTCCTGCCTCAGCCTCCTGAGTAGCTGGGATTACAGGCACGTGCCACCATGCCCAGCTAATTTTTTGTATTTTTGGTAGAGATGGAGTTTCACCATGTTGACCAGGATGGTCTCGATCTCTCGACCTTGTGATCCACCCGCCTCGGCCTCCCAAAGTGCTGGGATTACAGGCGTGAGCCACCGCGCCCGGCCCACTCTGTGGGCTTTGATGCTTATGGTCTCCTCGGATGTCCCCTCACCGTCCTGTCCCGGGTTCCCGGCCACAGCCTCTGGGTGACGGCACCACGTCTTCATCTCTCCTTCCCCAAGGACTGTCCTCTTCAACACCACCCACAAGCCCTGGGCTGAGGTCATCCCATGCAACTATGAGATGCAGCACGTGCTCAGGGACCTGGTACCGCTGAAGGCCTTCCTGCTGGCAGGGACCACCGTGACTATTGTGGAGGAGAAGGTGGGCAGGTAGAGGCAGTGCCTGGCCACCCACAGGCTGCATCTCTGCCCCTGTTGCTGTTCCCACTGGGCCATCCCCTGTAGAAACCTCACTCCCTGCTTAGCTGAGGTCTCAGCACCGCTCCAGAAAGGGTGAGGGAGAGGCAACCCCAGACGGCCCCCATGGGCCTCTGCTCACTTGAGGCCACATCCCTGCCCCTAGATTCTCTCCTGGCCGGTGGCGCTGCCTGCTGTCGACAGTCCCCTGTCTGCCAAGAAAGGAAAAGGAGAGAAAGACAAGAAAGAGAAGGAGAAAGACGGGAAGGGGAAAGGAGAGAAAGAGCCGGCCAAGGTACCGGGCCCTGGTGCTGGGGAGGGCGGTCCGGCCACAGCCTCAGCGGTCCTCGTCCCACCTCGTCGCACCCTTCTGGCCTCCCCCAGCAGGCACCAAAGAAGAAGAAAGAGCCACCCAAGGAGCTCCGGCAGGACCCCCCCACCCTGCAGGTGCTGGGCCGAGGCCTGGTGGTTCTGGAGCCCCTGCTGGTGGGGGAGCCCCTGGTGTCCACCGTGTGCAACTTTGGCGTGGTCCGCACCTTGGCATCTAACAGGCTGGCATTTGCCAGGGTACCATATCCTCTGCCTCTGCCTTTGCCCTCCCCATGGGAACCCCGAGGGCAAGCAAGGGCTGTGGGCCCAGGTCACTGGATGGGGAGAGGGGCTGGGGAGGGCTTTTCCCTGGGTCACACAGCCGGGTGCTGGTGCTGCCACCTGCACACAGGGCCCCTCCATGGGTTTCAGGCCAGTCAGCCTTCCCCTTGGGGTGGGCACCCCTCTCTGAGAGACCCCCACCTTCCTGGACCTGTTAGAAGGAGTGGAGGAGGTGGGGCCCCAGAGAAACCCCTTCTCCAGCACCTCCTCTCTCGTTTTGTGGTTCTGTCTCTCAGGATTCAAAGAAGATTAAGAAAACTGCCAAAAAAGGTGAGTGCTGGTGGTGGTGGCCGAAGGCAGGCAGTGGCAGGAGGACCTGCCGAGGGCCGGCTCTGGTAGAGGCCAAAGGAACAGAAGGGCAGGGATGGGTGCTTCCGGCCTGGGGAGAGGCCACGTCCCGCCTTAGGATCCAATGTTAATACTCCCTCCCTGCGGCCCTCAGACCACCCGACCTGCGGGTTGTGACGCAGGTGGGGAAGGCGCCTGTGGTAGAGCCACAGCGGGGTGAGGGCTCACAGCTGGGGTGGTTTGGGGTCCCTCCGCTTCCGAGGTGTCTGCATCCAGCTCTAGGCTATTGGGCCTCATTTGCTGTAAGAGGAGCCTGGACTTGTCCAGTGGGGAGCTGCAGAAGCATCTGAAATGGGTGCATCTCGGGTTTGAGGTTCAGAAAGAATGTCCGGCTGGGAGGGAGAGGAAGGAGACGGGGAGCGCTGTGGGAGGCAGCTGCAAAGCCTGAGGCCCAGTCACAGCCGAGCAGCCATCATGCTGAAGCTGAGAAGTGGAAACAGGCAAGGGGTGGTGGCTCCCGCCTGTAATCTCAGCACTTTGGGAGGCCGAGGTGGGCGGATCACCTGAGGTCAGGAGTTCGAGACCAGCCTGGCCAACATGGTGAAACCCTGTCTCTACTAAAAATACAAAAATGAGCCAGGCACGGTGGCAGATGCCTGTAATTCCAGCTACTTGGGAGACTGAGGCAGGAGAATTGCTTGCACCCGGGAGGCAGAGTTTGCAGTGAGCCAAGATCGGGCCATTGCACTCCAGCCTGAGCAACAGAGTGAGACTCTGTTTCAAAAAAGTAAATAATAAAATAAAATCACTGAAGAAGTAAATGTTGGAGAGCATACGCTACTGGACTTCAAAACCCATGCCTATACGAACACGTGATTTGTGACACTTACATGTGGGTTAAGATGGACTTAAAAAGGTGTTTTTTTGTTTTTTTGTAAATCTCTTTAATGTCTAGCTGAATTGAAGACACCTGGATTCTTATAGCTACTTCTGCAGTCAACTGCTTGCAATATGTTGCTGTAATTGAAGTGCGTAAAGAAAATCCAACCTCAGCCCCATAATTGGAAAAGAGGGGAGTATTTTAATAGACCCTCAAAGGGCCGGGCGCAGTGGCTTACGCCTGTAATCCCAGCACTTTGGGAGGCCGAGGCGGGTCAAGAGATGGAGACCATCCTGGTCAACATGGTGAAACCCCGTCTCTACTAAAAATACAAAAAATTAGCTGGGCATGGTGGCGCGTGCCTGTAATCCCAGCTACTCAGGAGGCTGAGGCAGGAGAATTGCCTGAACCCAGGAGGCGGAGGTTGCGGTGAGCCGAGATCGCGCCATTGCACTCCAGCCTGGGTAACAAGAGCGAAACTCCGTCTCAAAAAATAAATAAATAAATAATAAAAAATAAATAGACCCTCAAATAATTGGGGATTTTTTCTTTAAAATTACACCAAATTTGACAAGTGGTAGTTTCTTTTTTGAGACAGAGTGTCATTCTGTCGCCAGGCGCCAGGCTGGAGTGCAGTGGAACAATCTCGGCTCACTGCAACCTCTGCCTCCTGGGTTCAAGCAATTCTTCCGCCTCAGCCTCCCAAGTAGCTGGGACTACAGGCACACGCCAACACGCCCAGCTAATTTTTTTTATTTTTAATAGAGATGGGGTTTCACCATGTTGGCCAGGATGGTCTCGATCTCTTGACCTCGTGATCCACCTGCCTCGGCCTCCCAAAGTGCTGGGATTACAGGCTTGAGCCATCGCGCCCGGCAGACAAGTAGTAGTTTCTTAAAGGTTGTTACAATGTGAAAACTGAATGTATATTCAATTTTTCATAATCAGATTAAAATTCATTGGCCCAGTTTACATTTTGAATGGATATTTTACCATGCACAATTTGTAACATGCATGAGTTACTTATAAAATACAGGTTAACCAACTTAATCAGATGTTCCAGCTGTTGACCCCTGTCACTATCCATTTTCCAAAAATGATGTTCTTTACTATCACCACCCACGTCATTAGAAAGGTCTTTGAGTATTGCAAAATTGATAAAATTCATGGTGGCAGATACAACGTTATCTCATTGTTAGGGCGAATGTTCTAAATCTATTGAAATACTTTCAGTTGTTTTGCCTCAAGTGCCAGAATTACAGAATTACTTTTCTTTTTTCTTTTTCTTTTTTTTTTTTTTGAGACGGAGTTTCGCTCTTGTTACCCAGGCTGGAGTGCAATGGCGCGATCTCGGCTCACCACAACCTCCGCCTCCTGGGTTCAGGCAATTCTCCTACCTCAGCCTCCTGAATAGCTGGGATTACAGGCACGTGCCACCATGCCCAGCTAATTTTTTGTATGTTTAGTAGAGACGGGGTTTCACCATGTTGACCAGGATGGTCTCGATATCTTGACCTTGTGATCCGCCCGCCTCGGCCTCCCAAAGTGCTGGGATTACAGGCTTGAGCCACCGCTCCCGGCTCTTTTTCTTTTTAACTATTGTCCAGGCTGGACTGCAGCAGCGTGATCTTGGCTCACTGCAACCTCCACCTCCCGGGTTCAAGCAATTCTCTTGCCTCTGCCTCCATTGTAGCTGGGACTACAGGTGCACACCACCAAACCCGGCTAATTTTTGTATTTTTAGTAGAGACGGGGTTTCAACATATTGGCCAGAATAATCCCGATTTCCTGACCTCGTGATCCACCTGCCTCCGCTTCCCAAAGTGCTGGGATTACAGGTGTGAGCCACCACGCCTGGCCGAATTACCTCATTTTTGAGAAAATATCTGCAGCCAGGCGCGGTGGCTCATGCCTGTAATACCAGCACTTTGGGAGGCCGAGGCAGGCGGATCACTTGAGGTCAGGAGTTCGAGACCAGCCTGGCCAACATGGTGAAACCTGTCTCTACTAAAAATTAGCTGGTCGTAGTGACGGGCGCCTGTAATCCCAGCTACTCGGGAGGCTGAGGCAGGAGAATTGATCCCAACTACTCGGGAGGCTGAGGCAGGAGAATCGCTTAAACACAGGAGGTGGAGGTTGCAGGGAGCCGAGATCACGCCACTGCACTCCAGCCTGGGCGACGGAGCAAGACACTCTCAAAATAAAAAGCAGCTAGTACGTCTTGCACCTCACAGCTGCGACTTATTAAATGATCTAATTAAATGCAATTTGATTTTATTTCTCATTAGTTAAGACCCGAAGACCAAAAACTCCTGCCAGGACGGAGTCCAGGGCTTGCATTTGGAATGAGTCAGGGCTGCCGAGAACGCCAGCCCATTTGTTTCCCGGGACTCATGCTCGCATTTTTATTTTCTCAGAAAAGCCAAAAGCCGTGATTCCCATCGACGAAGGCGATTACCACCCCGAGCCCCTGACGGTGGAGGTGCAGATCCAGCTGAACCAGTGCCGCTCGGCGGAGGAGGCGCTGCGCACGTTCGCCGTGTAGGGCGCGGGCAGTAAAGGCTGTTCCCAGCACTCCCGCGTCGGTGTCTGTCTCGCCGCGCGCGTCGGAGGGCGGGTGAGGCGCCGGCGTCCTAGGGAGGAGGAGCCTCTGCCCCACTGGGCTCTTGCGGACCCCAGGACTGGGTGGGGGTCGGGACACGTGCGTCCAGCCGCGGGCGTGGCAGAGACTGGCGGCCCGGAGTCCGCCCTCGCCAAAAGCCCCGCCTCCCCGTAAGCCTCGCCCCAAAGAGCCCCCACTCGAGCTCCGCACACCTGGGCACTATCAGCCCTGGCTCCGCTGCGCTAGCTCCTCGCCTCTGCCCCGGCGTCACGCTCAGGTAGGTCGGGAACCGGGACCCCGCTGCTGTGAGGGAGGCTGGGTCACCATGTGGGGAGGGGCGTCGCTAGGGCGGCCGTACCTTTGCACCCCGCAGCCTGCTCTCCGGTCCTCTCCCGGGTCCCGGCGAGGACGCCGGCCCCGCCCGGGTGCTGCGCGGGTCTGGCCTTGGCAGGCCGGGCTCGGGGCCCACGGGCCGTTCGGCTTCGGTTCTCCGGGCTGGGGCTAGAGACCGGAGCCGGGCGTCGTGGACCCCGCCAGCCTGGGCTGCCCGCCCCCAACGCGCCGCGCTGCCTCCAGCCCCGGCCCGGGGTCCCCCGCGGGGTGGGTCCCTGTCTCCGCCAGCCCTCCGGAGACCGTCGCGTTGAAAGAATGAACCAGAGCTCGGCCCCTGCCCGCGCCGGGGCACTTGGGTCGCTGCGTCCTGTGGGGACCCCAGGCGGCTCTCGCCCCAGGCCGAGCCTCAGGACCCGTAACCACCAGGAGGGGTCGTGCGCCCCGCGGCGGGTGGAGAACGGGGCTTTGGGGTCACTGCGACGGGGACCCTGCTCGGAGGGCGGCGGGGCGAGGCCGTGCGGCCAGCGCGTGGGGACGCCCGCGGAGGGACGGCGCCACCCGGGCCGCGGCGCAGCCTGGGCTGAAACCTCCCGGGACAGAACCAAGCCACCTACTGTGCGCGCTTCTCGTTGAATGGCACCGCCGCACACCCGGGCCCCTCGCCCACAGCCCGCGGTGCTCGCACACCTGAGACCCATCTCGCTCCGACCCCGCCACCGGCCGGCATTCTGAGCATGGAGACAGCCTCCAGCTGCCCTTCCTCCTTCCTCCCCAGCTTTCCGCAGCCCACCAGGGAATAAGCGGTAGGAGTGAGCTTTTACCAAACGTAGATCCTTTTACGGCCTCTGCCAGACCTTCCTGTCCCCCGGCCCCCCCTCCGCATAGATCTCCAGGGCGCTCAGAAAATCCCGGTAGGTGGCTTACGCCTGTAGTCCCAACACTTTGGGAGGCCAAGGTGGGAGGAACGCTTGAGGCCGGGAGTTCCAGACCAGCCCAGGCAACAAAGGGAAACCACATCTCTACTAAGCAGAGCCGGGCCCTGCAAGGCTGCAGTCCCAGCTACCGGGGAGGCCGAGGCCAGAGGATCGCTTGAAGCCAGGAGTCCCAGGCTGCACTGAGCTATGATTGTGCCACTGCACTAGAGTCTGGGTGACAGAGACCCTGTCTCAAAACAACAAAAACCCTAGCTCTTTCCCTAGCCTGGTCGACGTTTCCTACTGTAAACCCGCTCGGCCGCCCCAAATCCCGCACCCCCCACCTCCCCGCCCCGCCCTTCTCTCCCCCCTCACTCCTGCTCTGGAGCCGCCTGGCTGCCCTGGGCCTGCAGAGGCCCCCGGTCTTCACACAGGGTACCCTTCCTCAGTCAGTTCTTGCTCAAATGTCCCTCCATCAGGGAGGGCTTTGTTAGCTACCCTTGGCTATGAGGTCCGTCCTCCAGCCATCTCACTTCGTTCGGCTGTAACTTCTAAGCGTACCTGTTTCTATGTGTTTTGTGCTCTCCTGTCAGGGTAGCGGCCCTATCTTGCTTGCCACTGAATCCCTAACACCAAGCAGTTGCTTTTCTGGTAGTAGCAGCTACGGCAGTGGCCAGTGCGGCAGACTGGTCAGAGGTGAAGGGCCAAAGACTTGGCAGTGGAGGGGACTGGGGCAGAGACACTGGAGGGACAAAAATGATGAGAAACTGAAGCCTGTCTTTGCTACTGTGGACCTCAGGCAGGCCATTCTGGTCGATTCCATCTCCTCCTCTTTGCGTCCCTGGGAGAAATCAGCACTTAGAATGGGGTGGGAAGGCAGGGCGGGGTGTCTCGGAAGCCAACCCTGATACAAGTCCCCAGCTTTCCTGCTTCCCTCTTGCTGTGTGTTTTATCTCACTGACTCCCCCGGAAGCCCTGGTCTCTGAGGCAGGTGTGAAGGGGTGTGTGCTTTGTTGACCACAGCCACCCTGCTGGTTCCTCTTCCAGGGAGGCAGTGCACCCCCGGTCATCTTGGAGAGGCCCAACACAGAACCCCACAGGCACCAGGCATTTTTTTTTTTTTTTTTTTTTTTTGGAGAGTTTGACTTCACACTTGAAGAGCCCTGAATGCCAGTTTCATGCTTAGTGAATTTGATCCAAAGCTATACTGAGTCTGTGCCATTTTCTTTTTTTGAGACGGAGTTTCGCTCTTGTTGCCCAGGCTGGAGTGCCATGGCACATTCTTGGCTCATGGCAACCTCCACCTCCTGGGTTCAAGCGATTATCCTGTCTCAGCCTCCCAAGTAGCTGGGCAGACATGTGCCACCACGTCCGGCTATTTTTTTTGTATTTTTAGTAGAGACTGGGTTCCACCATGTTGGCCGGGATGGTCTCGATCTCTTGACCTCGCGATCCACCTGCCTCGGCCTCCCAAAGTGCTGGGATTACAGGCGTTGAGTCACTGCGTCCGGCCCATTTTCACTAAAACTCATCAGGTGCTCGAGTCTCCTGGGAGAAAGGCGGGGAACGTTTATGGTGTCAGCTGTAAAGTGGCTGCAAGTCATTTTGGGAAAAACAGACCCCGGAGTCCTCAGATGATGGCAGAGGGCAAGGGCTGGATGTGCTTGGCCCATCCTTAGGGGAGGGAGGACTCTGGAAAGAGCGTGAGGACATGCTGAGAATAAAAAGAAGCCTAGGGGCCAGCAGGGACTTAGCTGCTGGGGTGCAGTTAACTCCTGCCCAGCTCCTGGGGCTGGGACCTGCTCAGGCGGCTCTCTCCTTGCAGGGATTGGCAATGCTCCGCAAGCTGGGCTGGCTGGTTTCCTACAGCCTGGTTGTGCTGTTGCTGGGCTGCCTGCTCTTCCTGAGGAAGGAAGCCAAGCCCATGGGAGACCCCACAGCCCGCCAGCCTTTCTGGGCTCCTTCAGCACCCTGCCACAGCCGATGTCCACCCAACCACACAGCGGCTAGTGCCTCTCTGTCCTTGCCTAGCCGTCATCGCCTCTTTTTGACCTATCGCCACTGCCGAAATTTCTCTATCTTGCTGGAGCCTTCAGGCTGTTCCAAGGACACCTTCTTGCTCCTGGCCATCAAGTCACAGCCTGGCCATGTGGAGCGGCGGGCGGCTATCCGCAGCACATGGGGCAGGGCTAGGGGCCAGCAGCTGAAGCTGGTATTCCTCCTCGGGGTGGCAGGACCCACTCCCCCAGCACAGCTACTGGCCTATGAGAGTAGAGAGTTTGACGATATCCTCCAGTGGGACTTCACTGAGGACTTCTTCAACCTGACACTCAAGGAGCTGCACCTGCAGCGCTGGGTGGCAGCTGCCTGCCCCCAGGCCCGCTTCATGCTAAAGGGAGATGATGATGTCTTTGTCCACGTCCCCAATGTGCTAGAGTTCCTGGATGGCTGGGACCCGGCCCAGGACCTCCTGGTGGGAGATGTCATCCGCCAAGCCCTGCCCAACAGGAACACTAAAGTCAAATACTTCATCCCACCCTCAATGTACAGAGCCAGCCACTACCCACCCTATGCCGGTGGGGGAGGATATGTCATGTCCAGAGCCACTGTGCAGCGCCTCCAGGCCGCCATGGAAGAGGCTGAACTCTTCCCCATCGATGATGTCTTTGTAGGTATGTGCCTGAAGAGGCTAGGGCTGAGCCCCACGCATCATGCTGGCTTCAAGACATTTGGAATCCGGCGGCCCCTGGACCCCTTAGACCCCTGCCTGTATAGGGGACTCCTGCTGGTGCACCGCTTGAGCCCCCTCGAGATGTGGACCATGTGGGCACTGGTGACAGATGAGGGGCTCAAATGTGCAGCTGCCCCCATACCCCAGCACTGAGGGGTGGGTTGGGCAACAGCCCGAGTGGACTCTTGATTTTCTATGATGATCAGAAATTGTTCCCTGCTGGTCTACAGGAAATGCCGACTTGAGTTTTTGTAACCCCCTCACCTTGTTAGCTCTAATTAAAAATACTGCAACCTGGCTAACTTGTGTTGAATGGGAGCCAAAGTGGTGCCAGGAACCTGTCGGGGATTCCTGAAGGAAGGAGGCTGCGTAGGGCCCCAGGAGTCACATTTTCTCATTTAGATGCAGAAAAAATGTTACTCTTCTCCTTTGGATACAATGCAGAAATGCAAAGAAAAGAAAGGAACAAGAAGCATGTGTTAGGAAGAGTCCTGTTGAGAGTACCAGGTAAACACTCTGCATCCCTTTCCTTAGTAGTAATAGATTTTTCACTGCTTGGCCTGAGCTGTCCTCACAGGGCAGTGGGGGCAAATCAGAAAACACATTAGAAACACTTCAGTCGTACAAACTGGACAGGCTTCCCGCCCCCTGCCACAACGCGCATCCCAACAGAGGAACAAACACTAAATCATTTTCACAATAAAAACAGGTTAAATAGCTACTGAACTTAAGGGCATGACAAAAAGGATTCCTCTATCTAACCCAGGTTGGCAAAATGCTTTGGGTGTGAGGTAAAAAGATGGGTGGGTAAGAGAGCAGCTGAAGAGTGGGATGAAATGTTAAAGAGGGTGCGGTGCCCAAGAGGTCCAGTGCAAGCCTGAGACCACAGGAGGAGCACTGATGGCTCACAGAGGCATTCTGCCTGATTGGCCAGAGCCGGACCTGCTGCCTCTTCTCAGTGCAGACAGTCATGCCAACTCTGGGCAGGATGGCGTCTGCCCCTGCTTTCTCCACTGAGTGGGGAGACAGGGCAGTAGGCTCAGGCCTCAATCCTCACGCAGGTAGGCTTCCTGCTCTGTCTCCGCCTGCTCGTCCCCTTCCTCCTGCATTTTCTGACGGAGCTCTTTTATTTGTGCTTCTGCCAACTTGGTTTCTGCTTTCTGGGAGAGCTGGCGCACCTCCTGCACCTGCAGTTTCACCAACTGAATGTGATTCCTGGCGGTTATAGAGGCCTGATCTGCGCCTGCAAAAGATGGGACAATCGGGTTGAGTAGCTGAGCAGGGCAGAAGGCACATGTGGATGTTGGCCTGGGGGTGCTATGGCTGTCATGTGAAGCCTTCCTGGGGTCACTTTCCTTGACCTACCAGCCTTCTCTCTGCAGAGAATTTTCTACCTCTGTGTTCAGGTCTGCATTTAACCAACAGTCAAAAACAGCATTTTTCTTCAGCTACCAGTGGCTAACATCACAATTATTAAATGCAACTCTCACAATCTTTATAGCTAATTTTTTTTTTTTTTTGGTTATGATCAGTGTATGACAGAACTGTATAGCTAATTTTTTTTTTTTTTTTTTTTTGAGACGGAGTTTCACTCTTGTTACCCAGGCTGAAGTGCAATGGCACAATCTCGGCTCACCGCAACCTCCGCCTCCTGGGTTCAGGCAATTCTCCTGCCTCAGCCTCCTGAGTAGCTGGGATTACAGGCACGCACCACCATGCCCAGCTAATTTTTTGTATTTTTAGTAGAGACGGGGTTTCACCATGTTGACCAGAATGGTCTCGATCTCTTGACCTGGTGATCCGCCTGCCTCGGCCTCCCAAAGTGCTGGGATTACAGGCTTGAGCCACTGTGCCCGGCCTATATAGCTAATTTTTTTTTTTTTTTTTTTTTTTTTTTTTTTAGATGGAGTTTCACTCGTTACCCAGGCTGGAGTGCAATGGCGCAATCTCGGCTCACCGCAACCTCCGCCTCCTGGGTTCAGGCAATTCTCCTGCCTCAGCCTCCTGAGTAGCTGGGATTACAGGCACGTGCCACCATGCCCAGCTAATTTTTTTGTATTTTTAGTAGAGACGGGGTTTCACCATGTTGATCAGGACGGTCTCGATCTCTCAACCTTGTGATCCACCTGCCTCAGCCTCCCAAAGTGCTGGGATTACAGGCTTGAGCCACCGTGCCCGGCGGAGTTTCGCTCTTGTTACCCAGGCTGAAGTGCAATGGCGCGATCTCGGCTCACCGCAACCTCTGCCTCCTGGGTTCAGGCAATTCTCCTGCCTCAGCCTCCTGAGTAGCTGGGATTATAGGCATACGCCACCATGCCCAGCTAGTTTTTTTGTATTTTTTTTTTTAGTAGAGACAGGGTTTCACCATGTTGACCAGGTTGGTCTCGATCTCTCGACCTTGTGATCCACCCACCTCGGCCTCCCAAAGTGCTGGGATTACAGGTTTGAGCCACCGCGCCCGGCCATAGCTAATTTTTAAACTACACATCATCCATTTCTTTTTGACAGATCCCGAATAAAATTGTCAAAGATCCCTTTTATCACCCTACCTAATCTTTGGAGGTAACCCCTTGGGATTTTGGGGTATTCTCATCTTTCAAAATGTGACCACACACATACGGAATGCATAGAAAAATATTTTGTTGCTGGGTGTGGTGGCTCCCGCCTGTAATCCAAGCACTTTGGAGGCCAAGGCAGGCGGATCACCTGAGGCTGGGAATTCAAGACCAGCCTGACCAACGTGGTGAAACCTCGTCTTTTTATTTAAAAAAAAAAAAAAAAAAAAAAAAAAAAATTGTTACTATAAATTTACATAACGGCATAAAAGAGATTAAACATGTTTTATAATTTTTTCTTTTCACTTGAAAATTTGTTTTGAGCTCTATCATTTTACTTGCTGCTACTATATTTCATCACCTAGGTATGTATATTTTATCAATTCACCTATAGAACATTTTGATCTGTTCTCACTGCACTAACAAGAACCTTCAGCACAATGCTGACGGGTAGAGAATGCAGCCGTCCTCGTCTTCTGACCTTGATGAACACACTTGATAGTTCACAATTAAGTGGGATTACTTAACCTTTATTTCATTAAGAAAATTCTATTCATAATTGTATTTACATTCAAATCTTAAATGGCTACTACATTTTATTGAAGGTTTTGTTGTTTTTTTTTTTTTTTGAGACGAGTCTCACTCTGTCACCAGGCTGGAGTGCAGTGGCATGATCTTGGCTCACTGCAACCTCCACCTCCATGGTTTAAACAAGTCTCCTGCCTCCGCCTCCCAAGTAGCTGGGACTACACACTTGCGCCACCATGCCTGGATAATTTTTTGTATTTTAGTAGAGATGGGGTTTCACCATGTTGGCCAGGATTGTCTCAATCTCCTGACCTCAGATGATGCACCCGCCTCAGCCTCCCAAAGTGCTGAGACTATAAGCGTGAGCCACCAGGCCCGGTAATTGACATAAATAAGTGGTTTTTCTCCTTTAATCTATGGATAGATGATCTCAGTAGTGAATTACATAGTTTTTTTTTTTTTTACACAATGTTGAACTATCATTCTGTTTTGAGGGTAAAGGGCTACATTTGATTTACAGCTACATTTTGAAGTGATACTGAACTATAGCCTGTTTTGGTGCTGCCCCAGGCCAGTCTGAGATCAGGGCTATGCAGGCATCATATAGTGGTAGCTTGGCATTACTTTCTATGCACTGGTACACTTACAGTAACATAGGTATTATGGTTTTAGATTTTTTTTTTCTTTTTTTTGAGTCAGAGTTTCACTCTTGTTACCCAGGCTGGAGTGCAATGGCGCCATCTTGGCTCACCGCAACCTCCGCCTCCTGGGTTCAAGCAATTCTCCTGCCTCAGCCTCCAGCCCGCGCCACCCTGCCCAGCTAATTTTTTGTATTTTTAGTTGAGACGGGGTTTCACCATGTTGACCAGGATGGTCTCCATCTCTTAACCTCGTGATCCACCCGCCTTGGCCTCCCAAAGTGCTGGGATTACAGGCTTGAGCCACCGCGCCCAGCGGTTTTCGAATATTTGATAAAACTCTTCCACAAAACATCCTAGGCCTGGTGTCCATTTTGGGGACATCAAAATCTTTGAATAACATTTCTACTTTTTTTTTTTTTTTTTTTTTTTTGAGACGGAGTTTCGCTCTCGTTACCCAGGCTGGAGTGCAATGGCGCGATCTCGGCTCACCGCAACCTCCGCCTCCTGGGTTCAAGCAATTCTCCTGCCTCAGCCTCCTGAGTAGCTGGGATTACAGGCAAGCGCCACCATGCCCAGCTAATTTTTTTGTATTTTTAGTAGAGACGGGGTTTCACCATGTTGACCAGGATGGTCTCGATCTCTCGACCTCGTGATCCACCCGCCTCGGCCTCCCAAAGTGCTGGGATTACAGGCTTGAGCCACCGCGCCCGGCCAACATTTCTACTTTTATAGTTACTGATCTTTTGTTTTGTTTCTGGGGATGCAGTTTCTCTCTGTTGCCTAGGCTGGAGTGCAGTGGTGTGATCTTGGCTCACTTTACCCTTGGCCTCCCAGGTTGAAGTGATTCTCCGGCCTCAGCCTCCCGAGCAGCTGGGATTACAGGTACCCACCACCATGCCCAGCTAATTTTTGTACTTTCAGTAGAGACAGGGTTTCACTATGTTGACCTGGCTGGTCTTAAACTTCTGACCTCAAGCGATTCCCCGCCTCAGCCTCCCAAGTGCTGGGATTACAGGTGTGAGCCACTGTGCCCAACCTAGTCTTATACACATTCATTTTTTTTTTTTTAGAGATGGGGTTTCACCATGTTGGCCAGGACGGTCTCGATCTCTTGACCTCGTGATCCACCCGCCTCGGCCTCCCAAAGTGCTAGGATTACAGTCGTGAGCCACCGCGCCCAGCTCTCATACACATTCTCTACTCCTTGAGACTGGCATAAAGATCATAATATTCTCATATAATTAAAAAAACTGTATCTGTAATGATTCTTTCTGATGTTACTTTTGCACTCTCTAAAAAATCATACTTAAATCCTTGCCTCATTTTTTAGTCTTTTCAAGGAAGATTTTGCCTTTGTGATTATTCCTATATAACTTCCAATACTTTTTTTCTGTTCCACTATTCTCATTTTGCCTTTCTGGTAACTTACGAAGTTGAAAAAGTTTAATTTGCTTATTTTCAGTACTTTGTTACAGTAAACATTACCTGTCATTCATGGTGTTCATATTAACGACATGTGGCGTAAAACTCCCTTTAAGCACTAATTTTGGCTGCAGCCTCCCAGTTCTGCTATATACTGTGCTTGTCATCACAGTTCTAAATATTTTTAGATTTCCATTTACATTGCTTTAGCCTGTAGTTTTTTTTTTTTTGAGACGGAGTTTTGCTCTTGTTACCCAGGCTGGAGTGCAATGGCGCGATCTCGGCTCACTGCAACTTCCGCCTCCTGGTCTCAGGCAATTCTCCTGCCTCAGCCTCCTAAGTAGCTGGGATTACAGGCATGTGCCACCACGCCCAGCTAGTTTTATTGTATTTTTAGTAGAGACGGGGTTTCACCATGTTGACCAGGATGGTCTCGATCTTTCAACCTCGTGATCCACCCGCCTCGGCCTCCCAAAGTGCTGGGATTACAGGCTTGAGCCACCGCGCCCGGCTAGCCTGTAGTTTTTTAAGAAGCATGTCTTTAGCCAGGCGCGGTGGCTCACGACTGTAATCCTAGCACTTTGGGAGACTGAGGTGGGTGAATCACCTGAGGTCAGGAGTTCAAGACCAGCCTGGCCATCATGGTGAAACCCCATCTTAAAAAAAAAAAAGCATGTGTTTAAACTTTGCAGACATAAGGAATTTTGTTTTTAGTGGTGAGGTGAAGGTTGGTGAATGTGATATATCAACTTTTTAAGTGATTTTGTTGTCTTTTTGTCACCTGGTACAAAATTAACTGTGTCTTAGAAGAATATGTAGTTTTAGAGGAGAGGGGGAAAAGTTTTATATTGTTTAAAAATCACTGCAAAATCAGCCTGAGAAACTTAGCTAAACTCTGTCTCTACTAAAAATACAAAAATTAGCCAGGGCATGGTGGTGTGACCCTATTATCCCAGTTACTGGGAGGCTGAGGTAGGGAGGAGGTCCTCTACTTGAGCCCAGGAGGCCGAGGCCACAGTAAGCTATGATCTCTGATTGCACCGCTGCACTCCAGCATGGACCCTGTCTCTCTCACACACACACATCTGATTTTCCTT